ACAAAGTCATGGCAAGAGGTAAGTAATCAGCTCCAAGAAACATCAGTCCTGTCAAATTTTACATGATACCAGTGGAAGATTAATAACTGCAAGACTAATCAACAAGTATACATCACAACAAAAAAAAAAGGTGTGGAAAACTACAAATTGTATTCATAAAAAAGAAGAGTGCATTGCAATTTCACACTCAATATCAACAACGTCTAAGAGGATGGTGGATTGTTTGGAGAAGAGAAAATGGCACACATAACCATATCACTCTCATATTCATCAACATGTTAGAGGATTGCAGATACAGAAAAGAAAACAGTACAATAACCTATTTTATCTTGTCGGTGATGAAAAGAGCAGAAAATAAAGTAAACGTTCTTCTATTAAAAGACTAAATATATATTTTAGTCCTTAATATTGGGGTCTTTAACTAACTTATCTTTTACGAGTTTCAACTTTACCCCATATATAGGTTTCTAAAATTAAGACGTCACAAAACATAAAAATTAACTAATTGAGATGAAAATACCAAAAATTTTAATCTGATAAAATAGACATAACTCACCCTTAAAATGAAAAATATTAAGGCAGATCTAAATATTGAAATGCCTTTTTATATGGCTTAGAAATAAATATTCCAAAACTTCTATACCATTCTAGATACCCTCCATAAGTGTGACTGTGTAACCATACATTCAAAAACTAAGAAAATGAAAACAATAGCCAAATAATTGGGAGCACTCTGTGTCTTAGAATAACTACTTTAAAACAAATAATTCGTAGATTTTTTTTTTTTTTTGGATAAAAACCAGTGTCAAGAGACAAAACAACAGTCTACTCCTACAGCAGTATGATCCTTCCATATCCAGGGCTACAGAGATAACTCGATCCTGTTTGGCTGTTCAAAAATCAAAACTAAACATACTGAAGGGAGAAACATATAAAAATTGATTAGTAAAAAATGGTTAGGAATACAAAAATGGTTATGAATTAAATGATCATGAAAAAAGCCCAATAACGTTAGTTTCAACAGATGATTCTTTTTCTTCAAGGGTTCAAAACTGGAAATGAACCCATTTCACAGAAGTTCACCCAGGGTTTAAAATGACAATAAAGAAATTCTCAACATACCTCCTCCAAAATCGAAGCATGCTAAATCAGAACTAGAATCATTTCATATCTGCCATGAACTTTTCATACTCAGCATCTGCACCTGATACTGTCTTCCCTGCAGAAGGCATAGGAGGAGGTAATGGAGGATTTGTAGACCAAGGAACATTCCCGCTGGGTGGTTGAGGCTGATCCGTATTTGATGTAGACATGGGTAGCGGATGTGTAGAAGCTGCACTATAATAAGGTGGGTAACCGTATGAAGAAGGCGGGTAAGAGGGTTGAGCAGTTGGTGGCATCGAATATAAAGTGCTCCTGTATGCAGTAGTTGGCTGACTAGTAGGGTTTTCAGATGGCAATCCTGGCGGAAAACTCTGTTGTGCTTCACCCGAAGACACTGGTTGAGATGGAGCACCAGGGGGCGCTGTCTGGACTTGAGTATACTGGACGCCATAAGGAGGCATGGTCTGACCCTGAACTGGCGGATAGATGTTAGAACCTGGAGGTGGAGGGGGATAAGAAGCATATGGAGAAGGAACTGGGGGACCCCATGGAACTGGAGTTCCTGCATAATTTGAAGGTGGAGGAACATTCCCAAGAGAACCACCCGGCATAAACTGCTGAGATGGATAGACACCAACAGGCTGACTTGAAACTGGATACGTGGGCACAGCCGATGCTGGTGGGCAAGGAGGCACAGTAGGCTGCGGTGGCTTCCCAGCAACTCGAACAGCAATTGTTCGGCCCTCTAGTCGATAACCATTCATGCTGGCAATTGCATTATTTGCCATCTGAACATCAGAATACTTTACAAATCCATAACCTTTGCTCAATCCAGAAACCCGATCCCTAATAACCTTAGCCATCACAATATCACCAAATGTTGAAAATAATCTAATCAAACCATCATCATCAAAAGTTGGAGGCAAATAGCCTATATACAAGTTCGTATCGTCATATTCCTTAGCAGGTTTCACTCCGTTTGCACCAACACCTGCTTGTGTTGCATTGCTGGCGGTTGTTGTATTGTTAGCCCAAGGAAGATTGTTTCCTGAAGTGCCTGAACCTATTGCCAGTGTAGGGGTCTGCTTGGTTGCTGATTCTGGAATCGTGCCTCCCAACTCTGCCAAGAAATTCTGATATTCATCATCCATCTTTTTCCCAGTCGTTCCCTTCACTGGGCAATCAATTGTCGGATGCCCACCATCGCCACATATTTTACAAAGTACGTCACTCTTAAATGTTGAAGTCCGCGAGGGGCATGCATATTGACGGTGCCCGGCCTCCCCGCACAACCTACAGAATTCTTCATCCCTTATGGTTCCATTCAAGGCAGCAAGTTCTCTAAGCTGCTGCCTCTTATGCTCATTCAAGACCTCGTCAACAGGTTGTAAGAGCTTCTCTACCATCTCCGCCGCAGCCTCTAGTGATTCCTGCGTTTCAGCCTCAACTAGAACATGCAAATCCTCGTTCTCAGCCGGATCATGCTTTAGGTCCCTCTTTTGTTGCAATCTACCTTCTTTTACAGACCCTTTGCCCCTAATTACAATTTTTGCACCAGTTTGCTTCTCCATCCTCTTCTGTGTATTTCCTCTAGGACCAATAATCAGCCCAATAAAATTGTAACCTGGGTATTCCTTCATCGGTATATAAAGCTTCTTCTGAAGCTTTGGGGGCCTGTAATCAGCTGGGGGCTTAAATGCAGGATTCTTCTTAATTATCTGAGAAATTATCTCTTGTCTCTCTGTGTTCAATTTTTCTCGAGCACGATACTCCCTAGTATTGATTCTTATTCCCATATTGTCATATATTGGCTCCGGGGAAGGCGACCGAGCACCTTCAGACCGATCATCCAGAGGCATACCAGATTGCAACATTCTACTGATCTCAAGAAGCCTACTATTCAAAGCTTGAATTTCAGGGTCGAACTCAATACCTCCCATAAAATCAGGAAGTTGAATTACCGGCTTGGGCTCATCATCAGCCCAGCGAGACTTCCTCTTCCGCGTACCGCTCCCAGATTCACCACCACTCTGGTCATTACTCTCGGGCTGTGGGTCCCATCGGCTCCGACGTCGGCGTCTACTCGTGGTCTCCTCTTCGCCACCGGAGAAGTCCTTATCGGTGCCACTATGAGTGTTCGTAAATCCATTCTCCGACAGCAGCGGCCTCTGAATCTCCACCTTCGGCACATTATTGGCACCGACATGAGCACCATCGGCCGCTTGGTTTCCAGCATATCCATTCCCAGAACTAAACCCCGGATTCTCACCATGAGAAATCGAGGAGTTTCGACCTTGGAAATCCTGAGCTTCTTGTCCCGAAAATAAGGAGGAGTTGTGATAATCGGAAGTGGGCGGGATAGAAGAGTCGCGATCGTGGTCTTCGAAATTTTCGGGAGTAGAATAATCAGGAGGATAAGGAACTAGGGTTTCGATGGCGGAATTAGGGTTAGGGTTTGAGTTGAGAGAGTCCATGTGGAGTCCTTGAAGAGGGAGAAAGAGATCGATGCGAGGAACAAAGAAAGTCGACCGTTTCGCTGTTTGCAAAAGGAGAACCCTGAACGCTTAAGCATACGTTTCGATAGGGTACGGTCTTTCTGGCACTCCCAAACCCGCCGCCTACAAATAAATAATAATAATAATAACTAAGTAAATTTATTGAATTGATAAAAGTACCTTATCAACTTTTATCTTTTTTTTTAATATACTTATCTTTTGGATAATCACTTTAACTTTTTTTTTTAATTAAAATATATTTTTACGATTATTTTTAAGATAAAATCAACCAACAACCCAATGTTATTCTCTATTATAATTGTTATTAGAGTTAGATACCGAGCCATGTATTAACAAGGATGCTGAACCCCTAAGAAGATGGATTATGAGAACCCACATCGGTTTGAGAAGAGAACAGAACATTACTTATAAGTGTGTGGAAACTTCTTCTTAGTAGACACGTTTTTAAACCGTGAGGCTGACGATGATACGTAACGAGCCAAAATAGACAATATCTACTAGTAGTGAGTTTTAGCTGTTACAATAGTATTAGAATTATATCGTTGTGCTGGTGAGGACGCTAAGCCCAAGAGAGGTGGATAGTGAGATCTCACGTATGTCAGAAGAGAATGAAACAAAAAATAGCATTTTTTATAAAAGTGTGAAAATCTGTCTCTCTAACACCTGTGTTTTATAATTGTAAGAAGAAACATAGCAAGTCATAGCGAACAATATTAACAAGTAGTGAATTTGGGAACAATATTTACTAGCAGTGAACTTTGATTGTTACAATTTACTTTCGAAATCGTGCCCTAATATGCTTAAAAGTAACTTTATTATTATATTTTTATAGATGGATCATTTTGATTCTATCCTCTTCTAGTAAGTTAATGTCAAACAAATTTTAACTTTAATAGTGAAATTATTAACCTATATGTGATGTCTCACATTGGTTGAGGAAGAGAACAAAACACCCTGGGTGAAACTTCTCCTAGCAGACGTCTTTTAAAATCTTAAGGGGAAGCTCGAAAGCAAAAACATAAAGAGGACAATATATGCTAGCGGTGGATTTGGGCCGTTACACTGCAAAATATGCATTAAATTATCGTTATATTTGACGTATACCTGTCTTTTCCTATATTTTTTTAAATTAAAATAAAAAAAAACGTTGCATAATGTAATAAACTTTAGTTATAAAGGAGGACGAGATATATAATTCCGTCCCTCAAATTAAATAGGAATAAAAATATTAAAATTTATCCCCAAATTTCAAATAACTGTAGGATTTTTGAAATGAATTAAATATAATAGTAGCTTTCATTGACTAATGTGACACTAAACTACATAATTTAATGTTGATCTTTGAAAATATGAGTCAATAGAGTTTGCTAAAAGCTTATCATCATCTTCTTCTTCTTCATCAATCGCTCGTTCTCTAAAGAAACAGTAGCAACCAAGATCTATCAATGGCTATTGCAGGGTTCGTGAAGGGCACAGGAGTGGATGATTATAAGGGCCAATTGACGTTATTTGTGCTACTTTCTTGTATGGTGGCTGCCATGGGAGGCCTCATTTTCGGCTACGACATTGGAATTTCAGGTATTTATTAGGTATATAATGTATCATGTTTTTTTTTTTTTTTTCCTTCAATATATATATATATATATTAGTTACTTATAAACTCTGGTTCATTCCTCCCAATAATCTTCCATATGTTCTTCTTTTGAAATCGAATTTGTAAAATACGTTTCCATGAATTTCTTCCAAGTTCTCACGAAGTTTTCTGTGTGAATGATGAACAAAGCTACTGTTGTGAAGGTGGAGTAACATCAATGGAGCCATTTCTGAACAAATTTTTCGCGGAAGTGAACAGAAAGATGAAAGAAGATGAAGAAATAAGCAACTACTGCAAATTCGATAGCCAACTCTTGACCTCCTTCACGTCTTCCCTCTACATTGCCGGCCTTGTATTCACCTTCTTTGCTTCCTCCGTCACCAGATCCTTCGGAAGAAAGCCTTCCATTCTCGCCGGTGGCGTAGCCTTTCTCGTCGGTGCCGCCTTGGGCGGAGCGGCCGCCAATGTCTACATGCTTCTACTTGGCCGGATACTGCTCGGAATCGGCCTTGGATTCACTAATCAGGTTTTGTTCTAATCGCCTTCAGGTTTCGTAACCCTAATTGAGAAATTATTGGAATTATGATGAATTTTCTTTAGGCGATTCCTCTGTATCTCTCGGAAATGGCACCGCACAATTACAGGGGAGCAATCAACAATGGCTTCCAACTCTGCGTTGGAATCGGCGTACTTTCGGCTAATCTCGTCAATTTCGGAACCGAGAAGCTCAAGAACAGCTCCAGTTGGCGAATCTCCTTAGCTTTGGCTGGGGTTCCGGCGTCGCTATTAACCTTAGGTTCGATTTTCTTACCTGAAACTCCAAACAGCCTGATTCAACGCAGCGATGAACATCAGAAGGCGAAGAAAATGCTGCAACGGATCCGTGGAACAGACGACGTCGACGCGGAATTCGAAGATCTCGTGAAGGCGAATGCAACATCAAAGGCAATCAAGAAACCGTTTGTGAAAATTACTCAACGAAAGTACAGACCTCAACTTGTGATGGCCATATCCATACAGTTCTTCCAACAAGTAACTGGTATCAATGTCATTTCATTCTACGCGCCAATTCTTTTTAGAACTGTTGGATTAGATGAAAGTGGTTCGCTGTTGTCGGCAGTCGTGGTTGGGGTTGTGGGAACTGCAGCGACCTTAATTTCAATGCTTCTAGTAGACAAGCTTGGGCGAAGAGCTTTGTTCACAATTGGGGGAGTTCAAATGTTTGTTTCGCAGATTGTAATTGGAAGCATAATGGCTGCTCAACTGGGTGATCATGGCGGGCTGAGCACAGGGTATGCGTATCTTGTTCTTGTTTTGATATGCATATATGTTGCTGGGTTTGCGTGGTCTTGGGGTCCTCTTGGTTGGTTGGTTCCGAGTGAGATTTTTCAGCTGGAGATTAGATCAGCTGGGCAGAGCATTACAGTGGCTGCAAATTTTCTCTTCACTTTCGCCATAGCTCAGAGCTTTCTCTTTATGCTTTGTCGCTTGAAAAGTGGCACTTTCTTCTTCTTTGGTGGATGGGTTTTGATTATGACTTCCTTTGTGTTGCTTTTCTTGCCGGAGACTAAGTATATTCCCATTGAACAGATGGATAGGGTTTGGATGGAGCATTGGTTTTGGAAGAGGATTGTCGTGGAACCGGGACAAGAGTCGATAGTATAAAGAACAGACGACCACTCGACATAAAATTGTTAAGTCTTCACTACTCCAATTGTTGTGGAATCCGGACAAGAGTCGAGAGTATAAGGAATGGATGACTACTCAACATAAAATTGTTATAAGTCTTTACGACTACTCCAATTGTTGTGGAACTCGGAAAAGAGTTGAGAGTATAAAGAACGGATGACCACTCAACATAAAATTGTTATAAGTCTTAACGACTACAATTGTTGTGGAACCGGGACAAGAGTCGAGAGTATAAGAAACGGATGACCACTCGACATAAAATTGTTATAAGTTTTCACGACTAGTCCAATTGTTGTGGAATCCAGCAAGAGTTGAGAGTATAAAAAACGGATAACCACTCAACATGAAATTGGTATAAGTCTTCGCGACTACTCTTAATTGTGAAGGTAGATTTGGTTTGTTCATATATCTCTCCTTTAATCGGGTCATGATCACCATCATTCGGATGTGATTTTCTTCAATTAATACATAGCGACATCTATTTAATCTACGGAGACCCACCCGAGTGGAAAATGGAGGGAGTACGGAGATATTATATCCGTGAGTTAAATGGGGATAGGGACAAATACTTGTCCTAGCCCCGCCCAAGTCCCGACCCATCTCAATTTTTATGAATGAATATAAATATATCTATATCTATAGAAATTTTTTCATGTTATATTATAATTTTGTTAATGAAATATTATTTAATTGATGTTTTATATTTTTTAAACAATTGTCCTTAGTGTGAGTGATGGTATAAAATAATAATAAATTTATATAATTTTTATAAGTTTAGAATTTCATAAATAGTCTATATAATAAGATTTAAAAAATTAATTTTTTTAAATATGGTGATGAGTTATATTTTTCGAATTAATATATTAAAAGAATGGAAAATAAAAGAGTAACAAATATTTTTCGAAATAAAAAAAATATTTTTAACAAATTAAATCGTAAATTAGTTTTTTTTTCAAACAAATTAGACGAAAAAGAAAATCTTCAAAAACCTATTTATCCAGTAATTCAATAACTTAAATTTATTACTTCTACGGTAAAGTTCGGAACCCAACTCGCCAACTGTTTCTTAAAACCTTCTATTCCACGTGGCAGAATTCTATTGCCTAATCACATCACAACCGTCCGATTAATTAGTTGAGTTTGCACACTCGGTTAGATTTAATTTTTTTTTTTAGAGGGAGTCTTGGCCTTTGAGGGACCTCATGATCTTCAGCTTCTGCAAGCTGAGCGCGGTTTTTTGGCTTTTCGGAATCGTGGGTACTTAAGTACAATTTTCTTCTTCGGTTTTCTCGGCAAAGTTCTTGTGCGATTCTAGGGATTTTCCTGCTTTGTTGGTACTCGATTACGACTGCGAGGTAGAATTCTTTACTGGTAGAAATTTCTTTATGTTTGATCAATGTAAACAGTTGTGATTGATTATCGTTAGTTTTCTTTTCTCGAGCTCGTGGATTTTTTTTAATGTTATTTCTCTTTATTCTGCCACTCTCTGATTTTTTTTTTTCTTAATTTAAAATTCTGTTGTCGGGAAATTTAGCAGAGAATTCGACTTTGAAATAATTTTGTGATGTTATTTGGACGATCTTGTGCGGTAGTCAATTTTTATGTTTATGGTTGAGTTGTGTTTCACTGACAGTGGATGGTTCCTTGATTTTTTCATCGGATATGACTAGCTTGTTTGTTTTATCAATTTTACTGGGATGAGCAAAGAAGTGAAATGTTTAAAGAGTTCTAGCGGATGACTTTATTAGTTTTTTCACTAATTTTTACTAGGAAAGGATAGAAAATGAAATATAATTGAGAGTATTGAGACAGTTGATGATAGTGTTTAGCTGAGAATGAACTGAATTATAGTAATTAAGTTTTTAGTCATGGATGTCAGATTCCTTATCATTCGGGGTTTCTTTTGAACTGAATTTAATAGTGTAAGGGAAAGTATGAATCGGTGCATCATTTGATGAGGTGCTATTATTTTGAACTTCGATGTATTGTTCTGCAACAGGCATAATCAATACACAAATTTAAACTGACGCTGGTTTCAAAGTTGGTTCAATGCCTTCTGTTAATACTTCAGAGTGGAAGGAGAAGGCTGGTGGTTTCTTTTCTTCATCAGGTACTGTTTTCAGTACTTAAATGAATATGATTTTGTTGTTTACTCTCCTGCATTTCTAATTCTCATGTTTTCTATCCTATAATGATATATTGCAGGAGTAAAGCTGAAACAAGCTGGACAATCAGCTGGAACTTTCGTCGGGGGAGTTGCAAAGGATGCAAAAGGATATGCTGCTGATGCGGCTGAACGAATTGGTTCTTTGGTACATGCGATTCCAGAAAGTCTAAAATCTGCTGCTGATACTACTGGCACATTCTTGAAAAAAGGCGTGTCAGAGACAAAGGAGAAAGTTGTTAAAGTTGTAGAGGTAATTTCGGTGGAACTTTTCTTTTCTATTTTTATGTTACATAAAATGATATTTCCTTTCATATTGGACTTGTTTATATTTCGAGTAATTAACACGTTTGAGCTCTCTGCAAACTTTTCTTGCATGGGTCTGTATTAATTTTTTATTTTGATATGAATCTCTAGTATTTGGAGTTCTAATTGAGGTAACCGTACAAAGACAACAGTCAAGCAGGGTCATTCCACACATTTTGGTCAGATGTGCTGAATATCTCAACTCGTCAGGTACTGGATTTCAAAATTACTTCCATACATGAACGCATTTATACATGTTTTTTTTTGCATGTGACGAAAATTCCATCGAACATTTGCCTTTGCTTATCCTTTATTTTTTTTTTAGGGCTAAACTCACCATGGCTATTTAAGTCTGACGGAGATAAAAGGGTTCTTCAGCAGTTGGTGTCAATGTATAATCAAGGTAAAGGAAGTAGTTTATGCGGTTAAGTTTTGTCTTTTGTGATCTACTTTCAATAATTTCACAATGTGTGTCGGTTGCATACATTTTTCAGATGCCCCAGTACCTGAAGGTACAAATCCAGTTGACATAGCAGCTCTAGCTAAATGTTACCTGGCCAGTTTTCCTGAGCCACTAGTCACATTTAGGCTTTACAATGAGATCAGGGGTGCACGTACAAGCATTACTGACCTGCGAAACATTTTAAAGAAACTTCCCAATGTGAACTACATGACCTTAGAGTTTATGACTGCACTATTTCTCCGCATTAGCCAAACAGCACTGCTTTATAAGGCAGGGTCTCTATCTCTCTCTCTGTGCATGCATACATGTTCGTTCATTTCTGTTGCATTCTTGTTTATATAGGACTGTTTATGAATTTGAGCTGGCATGTAAGAATATGTTATGTTTACTGGTCCTCAACAAGGCTGGTGCTCTCTCTTGTGTGCACGCTTACACATATATCTTTTTTTTTTTGTTTATTTAGGTCCATTTATGAGTTTAAGTTGGCTTGTAAGAACACATTTATGCAGTTTTTGAACTAACTTGATGTGATGACCTCTGCTTTATTACAAACTTCAAACCTTGAAAAAGTCACTTGGTATGCATTTATCAGAGGTTGTCTTGAATTAACCATCGTCATAAAGGATTATTTTATATGCTACTTGATATCGAAGCACTACATACATTTTAGATAGAGAAGCTTGCGTGCAAGGCTGCAAATTTTTACATGTTCGCAAATAACTTATTAGTGCAACATCATGACCCATATATTTATGTGTTCAAATATTTCAGAACCTATATCTCATAATCTTTCTCGTGATCAACATGATATACTGTCATGCGTAGCCAGTGATGTATGCCTTTGATGGTTTGGGTATTTTGGCTATTATTTTGCCTGAGACGATTTATGGATGTCTCTTCAGGGTTCTATGCACAAATTTCTAAAGCAAAGCACGTGCTGTCCAGGACACTCTAATTATAGCTGATACGATTTTTTTTTTTTTTTTTTTTGATATTGCTAAATCTTTTCTGATGTGTAATTGCTAATTTTCTGCATTGAAAATTTGACCTTTCTTGCCTAACTTTTGGAGTCATCAATCTTCTCATATACTCAAACGTAAATAGTCCATTCATGTTCTTTGTTGTGTTGCTAATGTCTGTATTCCTTCAATAGATGGATGCTCGTAGCTCGCTATGGAGATGACTCCTATAATAATGTGGCAAATGGACAGGCGGCCTGAATTCTATCGGGAATATTGGGATTATCATTCTAAAAATTCTTCTGCGAAGTCCTCGAATAATACATCACCTACTTAATAGTGCATGGGACATGCTTTCAGGTAACTTGGCCAATCCTTGATATTTGATTGTTTGCTATGTGCTTTATAATTGGAAATAACTCTAGATTTTTCCTCTTTTGGAGTGGACATTTCAGTCGCATGCTTTGGAATGAGAACGATGGTGATGAGTTATATTATCCATTTAATATTGATTGACAATCTGAAGTGTGTGAAAAGACCTACCACCTTTTTATGCAGATAATTCTATCTAGTTAATAAAATTTATTGTGACTACTGTCTTGGATTTTCAACTGAGTAAATGTGAAAGGTACTAAGTAGTGAGGTTTGGGCATATTCCAACCTTTACCCTGCACTTTAGTAGCTTTGAGTAGTTTACTTTGTGTGGGCTTGCTGTTGATTCTTTGTTTAGGTAGTGCACTGTTTTTAGTAGTTAGTGGTTAATTAGAAGCTCTTATAAAGAAATACGATGCTCTGTCTTTGCAACCCGTACTTTTAATTCATATAATAAAGCTCTCTTTGAACATTCTTGCGGCGAATCTTTAGGCTGCATCTGTATAAGAAGTGAGTAGGGACATTTTGAACCGTTTAGCCTTTAATGTCCTGTTCATTAAGCTATTATTCATGGTGCAATATTGAAAACTCAACACATATATTGTTAAGAAGGAAAATAGTTTTGTAAGGAAAGTAATTTTAAATATTGTGCAAAATTATCCTCGATTGTCCTTTTGATGGTCCCCCTGGATTAATTTTCACTATTTTTGTTTTTGTGCTTCAGAAGAGAGTATCAGCTTCCTCACACATTCCTTTGGATGATGCCTTGCCAGTTGACTATAGTGCCATTGAGGTCATTCAGTGCCTCATAGAACATCATAAGGAAATTTTTACTGATGCCAATTAAACAATTTGGAGATAAATCAGCAGCAGTTATTTCCTCGAGCGACCATTGTTCTTGGATGAATTTTGATACAAGTCTATCTCTAGCGACAGGTCGATATCTGAGAGTTATTTTCTTAGTTCGATTGGCCAGGTTGGTAAATTAAACTTAAAATTTGTTCGGATGTGAACAGCTAGCACAGTGAAAGAAACTACAGTGTGATGCATAAAATGGAGCGCGTTTAGTTGTAATAACCTTCCAGGATTTACTGGTTGATCTGAAGTTAGATATCTGTTGTACATACAACTAATACTGCTGTTATATTTAGCGTGTGAATAATAATTCTATTTACAATGTCAGTTGGACATACGACTTAAACTTCGTTCTTCTTCACATAATATTTGGGCCACCCAACTTGCGGACTTCTGATGAAATCTGGTGCATTAGTGCTAGTATGATCGCACCCTTAACTACGTTGAACACCTCGATTGTTGATAAGAGATATAATCCAGATAGTCTGATAATAGCACCCAGGAAGTAAGCTACACAATTCAACCAGAGACACCGAGGAAAATAGCAAACTAATAAACTAGGACAGGGATGTATTGTCTATTGAGCTAGTGGAGCTTGGATATCCATGTTTCTGTTAAAATAAAGGGGGAGGTTGATAAAAAAAATCAAACAAATCAGCTGAGATATCGTCAAAGCAATCAACAACGGTTGCATGGTAAGGGTTTCCATTCTCAACTTCTAAACTACTTTCTGCTTTGATATCTTGTTCTTTAGGCATTGAACTGCTCATGAACTGCAGGGAGCTTTCTATTTTTGAAGTCTAGCCTGGCTCAAGCCCGTCTTGCAAATTGGAAGCAATGTGGTGTGGCGACAGTCCGAGGCAGTCTGGAACCATCCCGATCTCTTGTGAGGATTGGGTGATTTGGGAGATGCAACAATGAGGAAAAGGGTCAAAGGGTGCTAGCATGTGTACGGATGGAGTTCCAAATATTTGATTCTCAGTTTCCATAGCTATCATATTTGACTGTACTGATAACAATGCCATTTTATGCATCTCTGTGTTTCCTAACTCGAATTCTTTCTCGACATGATCGTTCCAGGTTGATGATCGTTTCTCCAGCTGAGAGGAAACGGAGGTAGGAACCTGCAAATACATCAGTCAAGGTTGGATATCTACAGATCACAGAGTTTTAAGTTGTAACTATTAACTTGGATATCAAACTATATTACCTCTAAATCAGGCAATACATGATGAAGTCTTTGAGATTCTGAAATTTTCTGGTTATGTTTCTGAGATTTCTGTGGTGGGGTTTGCAAAATCCGTCGTCCCAAACTTTTCCTCCTTGTACTCCAGAAATTCTTCACATCATTATCCGTCCTTCCCGGAAAATACGTAGCGATTTTCGCCCATTTATTCCCGAACTGTGCCTGTAATTCTGTTACCAACCTCTCCTCATCTGCTGAAAACTTGCATCCTCTGCACAAATACTGATTTCCTCTAGAAATTGGAATCTATACAGAAATTGAAATTGTATGACTTACGTCTTCAAGTTGGGTTGAAGTTTATTAACCCAACGGAGACGGCAGGATTTTCCAGTCCTAGGGAGAAGTCTTTTGGATCGAAGGGAGCTCCAGTCTCTTGGACCAAACTCGTTGACATAGTTCATCAGAACCTCATCTTCTTCAACACTCCAACGCCCTTTCTTCATCTGCGTTCCATCTCTTTTCCTTTCCATTTCAACTTCTTCTCTGCAACACTGTTTTCATTTCTCTCTTCTTCAAAGTGAAGGGCAGCGTGAGAAAGTTACGAACTTTTTATCTTTGTTCTTGCATTTGTTGATCAATTGCTTCTGCTGCTCTATGCTTGGCTCTATGGAAGTTTTAGGAGGTTTAGCCATTAGATTTTGGATGAGATTTTGATCAGTGGATTAGATGTTGTTGTGTTTCGTTTCTTAGTTACGTGGAAGTGAAGTAGTTTGATGATTCTGTGCGCTTGCGTACACTGGATTTTGGTTTCTCCCACTCAACATGTGTAGCGGTTTCGACGGTTAGTGATACGATCCATATCCCCGCCGTTGTGTTCTTGGTTTGAATTTAGCGAAATTACTCCACTACCCTTCTCTTGGGCTGAATATTACAGTCTAACCACGGACATATTTCGTGTGTACATATACCTTTTTCAATAAAACCGTTATCATTAAATAAAATGGTTCAAATACTCTAATATGAACGTTAATAATTGATCGGCAATGATCAACATGAACATAACTCAACTAAAATATTTATTAGGTTCAAATCTCTTACTCAATATATTACCAAACTAATAAAATAGTTATAAGAAATCAATTGTCGGAACCATGATAAGTCAATGGAGAGGGTGAACGTGAGGAGAGTTCAATGAAATTCCATCATATATATCACGTTGGGTGGATTAGGTGCGGGTTGAGAGAATCAACACTTTTGTTTCAAGAATGTCGGGAAGAATGACTTAAAAAGAATTAGAATAGAGCATTTTCTTAACCGCATCATGTTATTATGTTTTATTGAGTCAGTGTTCTAAAAAAATGGAATCTATTCTTCAAAAGACTTAACTAAACGGCCTTTGATATGGATCCTTTGACAACATTCTCATAACAGCCCGAGACCACCGTTAACAGATATTGTCTACTTTGATCCACCATGTATCAACATTAGTCTTACCGTTTTAAAACACACTCGTATAAAAAATGATTCGTTCTCCTCTCCAACCAATGCGGGATCTCACAATAGGGGTGGATTCGCTTCCAAAAGATCAATTATGTGCGGATTTCGTTTAGCTTCTGAAGCACTTGCTTCATACTTGGCCTAAGAGCTGGAGAAGGAGAACAGCAAGCCATAGCAATCTGAAAGAATTTGAGTATCTTTTCTTCTGTGACACTGTTTCCATCAACGCTGCTAAATAAAAATATTTCTGGATGGAAAAGCTCTCCAATTCTATGCTCAAGAACAACATTTCTCATGAAGTTAGGCAAGTAACAATCCTCACCAGGACTCGCCTTTTTGTCGATCGGTTCCTTCCCCGACAGTAACTCAAATAAGATTACGCCGTAGCTATAGATATCGCTCTTCTCATTTGCATCCTTCATCTTGATCAGCTCAGGAGCTTTGTAGCCATTGCCTGCTGAAGCTTCAACCAACTCTTGAGCAGAAGATGAATTCAACAGCAAATGTAGGCCGAAATCCGACACGAATGGTTCGTAGTTTCGATCCAAAAGAACATTCTTTGCCTGTAGATTCCCATGGATTGTTGGCTTTTGCAAACCAGTATGGAGATGATCCAATCCTTTCGCTATACCAATTGAGATCTTGTTTATTACCGCCCATCGGTGCGAGTCATCGTTCCCATCTGCCAAATCAAATCAAAATAGACTGAATCATAAGCTCATAACAGGAGGAGGATTAGGAGGGAATCTCATATTCGTTAATTTAGAGAATGATCATGAGTTTATAAGTAAGGAATACGTCTCCATTGGAACTAGAACAAAATACACCATAGAGTCTCCCCTGCTGCCTATGAAGCCCTCGAACAGTCTCTCCTTAATTGAGGCTCGACTTTTTCTCTGGAGCCCTCGAACAAAGTACAACCTTTATTCAACACTTGAGTCACTCTTTTTACTACATCTTCGAGACTCACAATTCTTTGTTCTACGTTTGAGGATCCTATTGACATGACTAAGTTTAGGACATAGCTGTGATACTAAATACGACTCTCTCCATGATCATTTCCTAAATAAACCAACGTAAGGCTCTTCTCCCAACAATCCTGAACAAAATTGTCGGGGAAAATGAAGATTGAACCAGACCCATAAGAAGAAATATGGATTTCTTTACCTCTAATGAACTGAGCCAGATTCCCATGCCTGTAAAATGGATGAATCAGGAGCTTCTCTGTTCTTGGACCTGAATAGAATCCCAAAAGAGGCACTAAATTTCGGTGCCTAATGGAGCCCAAGAACTCGATCTGAGCAACAAAAGCCTCAAACCCAGCAGTACAAAGTGGCCTGAGGAACCTCAGCAGCCTCACAGTGCTGCTTCCTTGCAGGTAGGCTTTATACAGAGTTCCATGGCTGGCTTTTCCAATCACTTCCCCTGGAGCTTCCAATATATCAACAATGGTAAGATCCTCTCCGCCATGAAAACTCACCAATTCTTCTCTCTCCTCTTCCCCATTTCCCCTCTCCTGGTTCCTCTCTGTGTCGTTGTATTCATCCTTCCCTTTTCCCCTTCTTTTCAAGAAGATGAAGATGATAATGGCCGCAGCTGCAATGGCAACCACTCCAAGAACAAGATTGAGGATCTGGGTCATCTTCGTTTGAGGGAAAGTTTGGTTCTTTGAGCTAAAAAAGTTGAGTTCCCTTTGTTGGTCAATGATTCACAGGAACAACCTTAAAAACCAGAGGAGAATATGAAGAGAAGAAGAAGAACAAGAAGAAAAGGAGCTGTTTGGTATAGAATGATGAGCGTTGGATCAAGCAATGGAAAGAAAAGAATAAGACTTATCTCGTAAACTTTACAGTTTTAAAACGTGTCTGAACACTATTATCCATTTTGACCCGTTACATATCATTGTCAACTTCACATTTTTAAAATGCGTCTGAACACTATTAGTAGATATTATCCACTTTGACCCATTACGTTATCGTCGTCAACCTCATAGTTTTAAAACTCTTCAGAAAACTTAGTAAATATTATCCACTTTGACTAATTACGTATCACTGTTGACCTCACAGTTTTAAAACGCGTCTGAACACTACTAATAGATATTATCTGCTCTGTGACCCGTTACGTATCTTGGTCACTCACAATTTTAAAATGTTTTTCACTCGAAAAAGGTTTTCATCTGATGTGGGATCTCACAAGTTAACAATGATAGGAAAGTGTATTGTCAAACTTAATTCGTGTAAGTGTTTTTGTCACTATCAAACTCTTTCAAGTCGTTATCGATCTCACTTTTTCATCGAACACTCCAATTGATTTACACGATAATGTTTGAAAATGTTTGAAAAAGTTGGAACCATAGAAGAACACACATTTTTGTTACATATAAGTGAGAGAGAGAGAGAGGAACGAAATGCAGAAAAGACATGAGAGAGGCATGTGATGGGTATGGCTGATTGAGGACTATGTGTTGTCAAAGCACACAAATTCCATTTCAACAGGCAAGAATCTTCCATAATTTTTTTATTTTTTAATTTTGTCTAAATTTTAAAAAATGTTTAATAAAGTTTTTAATATATATATATATATATATATTGTATATATTATATCTACCTTTTTAGTCTTTAAATATTTTTTTAATAGTTATAAGTTGAAAAAATAGGAATAATACATTTTTAATTTTAGAGAAAATATTATTCTATTTCTGTCCAATTAGTTTTCTGTTTTATTAATGAAAAAAAGAAAAAAAAAAATCCAACCATAACTGATATATTTGGAATTATATTTAAAATATTTGAATGATGATAAACCTTTTTTATTTAACTCAAATAATTCTGGCTAAAGGTTAGTTTCTAAAATATTTATTTATTTATTTTTAAACATTTATAAATTAATTTAGAAAATTACCTTTTAAATAATTTAAAAATTATCTTTAAGAATATGAGGAGAATAAATAATCAAACAAATAACTGTGAAATATAATATGATTGTATTGTAAGGAAAAAAATGTATATATTAAAATTAATAATAAATACGAGTTGCCGTAGTTTAATGTAATCTAGTTTTAAAAAAACCTACGAATAAATTAAATGCATAAATGTTTCGGGTCATCAGGTAATTTGAATATCCCCAATTAATCTATTATTTTTTTCCTTCCTTTTTTCAATTTTAATTACAAATAAGAAAGAAAATTAAAAATTATTTTTGAATTTGTGTCTATTTAATTATGGAAATTTCATATTTATGTATTAATAAATTTTTAAATTAAATTTAAAAGTTGAAGAATTAAATTTATAATTTAATAAAAAAGTATAATTTTTTTAATCAAATTTAATAAGTTTTTAGAATTTTTATTTTTTATTTTTTATATATTATTAAAAGTAAGAGGGAAATATATGGAATATTTATTTATTTATTTTATTGCACTCTTATTAATTGAAAATAAGTGAATTTAAATGTGAAAGACAGCTAGATAATGTTGGAAGGTTATGAATTCTTTTAATTTTGTTTAGTTTCCCACAAAACCAAAATTGTCAACCCATAATCACATTCACAAGAAAGAAACAAAATACATTAAACCAAAATTTAATTAATTAAACAACTTTGCTCATTTTGTTTCAATTTTATTTTCTAATAAATAGATTATACAAATGTTTTTCCTTTTATTCAGGTTGTTTTGAGGAAAAAAAAACTTATAGTTTAATAAATTATAATAAAAATAAATTGAAACCCAAACAAAATGGAGAGAAAAAGAAAAAGAAAATAATAATTAAAGGCCCATTAATTAAAAGTATTAAATCTTCATTTTTTAGATGGTATAGAGCCGAGGATAGTGATGAACCAAGAAAAAAGTTGGTGTACATGTAACACTTACGTAAACAAGAGGTATATGAATAAACCAAGAACACCTTCAAATGAGTGATGATACTGATATAAACAGTTAAGAAATCCTTTGAAGAATGGACAATTACTACTTATACTAATTGGTTTACCTTCCTTTTTCGATGGTTCAAGTAATTCTATAATAGCTGACCTATTAATTTTTTTTTTATGAACATATTGATTTGTACTTCACTCTTGAAATTATTTGGGACAATTACGCAATACAATTATGTCATAGGAGATTCAAGAGAATGACGAACGAACCTTAATTAGTTTAATAATTTTAGTCCAAAATACTTTTTCTTTTTTACGTGAATGGTCTAATCTCATTATATTTCTTATCAAAATAAATTTGGCTATAATTTTTTAAAAAATTAAGACTAGATATTTTTGGTGGGATTTTATCCTATTTATTTATTTATTTTTTAAATAAACAATAGCCCCTCAAATAATGGTAGGAAAAGGGGTTAGATTTGTTAAGAAAATTTTAATTTTAATTTCATTAAAAAAAATTCACTGCTTATATTTGGAAACTAAAACAACTTGAAAACCTTCCAAGTTAAACCTTCCTTTAAAAAAAAAAAAAAAAATTAACAATTTGTTAATAAAAAATTACAAATAAATATGATTGCATAATCAATTTACTAAAATAAAACTCAAATTATAAATTACTTAATTAAATTGGTTCATAGAAATAAAAAATTAAAAGAAAAAAAATAAAAAACAAGCATTTCCAAAGATAAAAACTAAAACTATTATCGATGACGATAAACCACATAACATTTTTAAAACGTAATTTGCACTCTTGATAATACATAAAAATAATTTAAATATAAATGGTCTATTATTTATTTCCTTGCTTTGAAATAGAAAATAAATTTAATTGGAAATATATTTCCACATATTTCTCTCAAAGCACCGATTAAAATATGTAGGGCAATTGATTGTTCAAATGGTACTGAGTTCTTTTTTTTTTTTTTTTATTTAAAATTTATTATTATTTTAATTTCTATCAATAAAAATACTTCTTAAAAGTGAAAAAGCAAATTAGAAAAAGTAATTTTCATGTAATTGTCAATATTTGCCTTAAATTGGAAGCTTAGTTGCTTTTATTAATGATGATTTGTAAACAAATTGAAGAAAGAATTAGACTTCAATCAAAACATTAAATACATAGCCACATTCAATAATGATAATATACGTGTATGTATCATTTGAATCTAAAATATATATTTTTATTAAAATAATTATAACATTTGGAATTTTATAATTTAGAAATATATCCAACTTTATATTACTTATGGATTTATACATACCATTTGATTTTGAAATACATAATTTAATTAAAACATTATAATTATAAGCTTTTACCAAAATTTTGTATCAAGATCTTCACTATCACTAATGAAAAACTGGGCAACTCGAAATATAATTTTCATTACTGCCAAAATCATCAACAACGCAAAAAAAACAAACGTTATTTTTAGCAGACCCCAAATCGCTATCAACTTATGATGTAGTGATATACACCCGATTATATTACACAACTCGAAAAAGATTAAGACTAATCCATTGTAGGCAATTATACAAAACTTGCCCTCACAAATTAATGCTTTTTTCTATGTTTCTAAGCCAGTTTAAACACTATCAAAAGCCAAGAATTGATTAAAACATTACCTCATCTTCCAACAATTACTCTTCAGTTGAAGCATTGAACTCCCAAGTGAACAGAGAATTATAGGTACTGCCGAAGACTTTCACCACTCATAGACTCCATTTCTTTGAGAATATCTTGTGCAAGAGATTTAACAGAGAGCTCCACATCTTCAAGCAGCTCGCCGAGGAAGGGGATGGTCTCAGGTAGAAGGACTAAATATTCTTCTTTCAAATTCTCAACGAGATATTTGACGATTCTTAGACCCAGAATTCGAGTACGAACCTTGTCACTCCTGGTTTGCATCAATACCTACCACAAGAGTTTAAAAGATATGAAATTAGAAAATTTCCAAATTCAATTGGCTTATTGTGCAAATAGGAATGTCCCCAGTCTACACACTAATGAAGGGAACTGTAACATGTGGAAGTAAAACACCCAAAAAACTAGTCCATGCTTCTAAGTGGTCAACTATAACCAAGGAAGGAGACAACAATGTTCATAATCTGTTTCATCATAAACAATAGAATTTGAATGACTAAAACCAACCGTAATATTCGGGGGAACTGCATAATACTCTAATGAAGTATAGTTGATAATTAGTTGTATCATGTTTATGACAATTAGTTGTGAAGTGGTTCGAAAATTTCAAAAAACAGACTATTTATATAATGAGTGATTCATAAAAAAAAAAAAAGAAAAAGAAAAAAAAAAAAAAAAAAAAAAAAAAAAAAAAAAAAAAAA